GGGGGGGGGGGGGGGGGGATACGTGTCGCCCCCTCCAGCAGCCGCCGCGATCTTGCTTGTGCTCCTCAAAACTACACACCTGGCAGGAGGGCGTGCGTTGAAGAAGGAGTGAGCAGGTGAATACAGCGCCAGCGGAGTAGGGGCCTCAGGATCTTGCACGCCCGGTCTGGTCGGATGGGTCTTTGTCGATCGTTGTCTTCTCTGGTTTACCCGATAGGGTATACAAATGCTCTGAGCTCGCGAGCGGTTTTTCGATTGCGGCCAGAAAAACACCGCGGGAGCTGTTCTCTGTTCTCTCAGCTGTCAACAGTAGAGCCAAAAAAAAAATTAAGAGCAAGAAATGTTGGCTGGCTTGCTGCATGCTGCATGCGATGGCCTAACCGCCCGTTACGATTCCCTCAAGGTCTGATGCAACTCTGTGCCTTGGATGGAGACGGTGATCATGTTTCATATTTTTGTCACCTCTGAGAGAGCCAGACCAAGCATTTTTTTTTTTTTCACAAGGGCGAGCAGAGTACCAGAGTAGAGAGTAGCAATATCCACACACACGTCCTCCTTGGCATGCTTTAGCCGCTGCAACATCAGGTGGCTGGCGAAGGTGAAGCTCGCGTTTCCTGGAAGTAAAGCCTAGAATTCTCGTGGTCGAGAGTAGGCTGTGTCTCATTTTCCGGGAGCGCCCCACATGGTCGCGTCCGCCCGCGCCGCTGTTGCACCCAACCGGCACCTACAGCAGTAGTCTAACATCAATGTCTCCGGTTGATATCATGTGCCCTTCCGATGTTTAACTTGTGTTCTATTGGCTTGGATCTCACCACCGCAGCCTCAAACCGCATCGTTGACAAACCCAGCATAAGACGCTGGCTAGCGCGCCCAACGTCGCAAATCAGTGGTACCAGTAGCTTTTTTTTATGTAACACTCCCCGCCGCCGGCATTTTTGAAACCGCATCTACACATACATCCCCCGCTGCATCAGGCGCAGGTCGATTGTCTCAGATTTCCTGACTATTTATTCGCGCCTTCTTTGTCTCATCGCGGTGTCTCGTGGAATAGATACATACGCTCGCGCGAAGCGCGCTTGGGAGGCTTCACAACAGCACCCTCTTGACTAGGCCGTTGCTCTTGTCGACGCCAGCAGGCTGAGCGGTTGAGCACCCATGGAGCAGATCGGGGTGGGGGACTGCCAAACGCACCAGGTCCTCTGGTGGGACGCGCGGATCCGCAACTGTGTCAAGGAGGTGGAGCGCAACGGCGGCAGACTAGACACGCACCAGATCCACCCAGAGATTTTGAAGCACATCAGCGAGGGAAAGGCGGCCGGTCTCTACCTCGACTCAGCCGCTGGCCAGGTGCTGCTCAGGACTCCTGGAAACATCGTCCAACCGCCACCACTACACCTGAATCATCATCGCCACGCCCAGCAGCAGCAGCAGCTTCAGCAACAGCAGCAGCAACAGCAACACCTGCAGCAACAGCAACACCTGCAGCAGCAACAGCATCTGCAGCAGCAGCAGCAGCAACAACAACTGTTGCAGCAGCAGCAACAGCAGCAGCAGCACGGGCCGAAGCACCACCGGGTCGCACCACTGCCGCAGCCCGCACAACAGGCCTTCGGGAACAGCCTGTTCCTGGGGCAAAACCCACAGTTCGCTCACAACGTCCGCGCAAGCGGCGCAGCAGGTGCATACTCCCCTGTTTCACCCAACCCAATCAGCAGCTACGTGGGGCACGGGCACGTCTCTCCGCCAGCGGCTCCGCTCCCTCCGCGGGGAAGAGTGGCCGGCCAAGCGGCAGCGCCGTACCCGGTTGATGACATTCGAGACGTCGGGACCGCCCGTCGTGTCGGCGCGGCTATGATCGCCAGGGCTGCTCTCCCGCCGCCGGGGTCTTCGCCTCACCAAGCGGCCCTGAGCGCCTACCGGTACGGTGCCGCCGCTGTTCCCGCGCCGCAGGAAAGCCCACCCGGCGGGCACACGCAGCCCCAAGGTTTCGGACCGAACGCCGCGACCGACTCGACACAGCCGTCCCAGTGGAAGACCTACCAACAGCAACACGGCCTGCAACCCGGGCGAGGTGACCAGTACCACCCCCCACAGACACGGCCGGAGGCGGCGCGCTTCGACCAGGGGCCGGCCACGCCGACTGTGGCGCCGAGCGAATCCCGCACCGGAACGAACCGCCGTGCGGATGCCTTGACCCCGTCGGAGGGCGGTCGCAAGAACGAGGACGAGGGGAAGAAAGATTGTGTCATGCCGGGAGGACAGCTCGATGTGCCGCCGCAAGCCACGGAGATGGGGGACAGCTCCGCCGTGGCGCCATCACCGGTGCGGCACGCCGACGCAGCTCTCCGCCAGCAACAAGAGCGACCAGTGACTCAGGAGGAGGACCCGTTGAACCAAGGCACCCCCCTCGTCAGCCCGCCGCCGTCCGGGACGAAGGCGGAGCCTGGCACTGCGGCGGCGGCGGCGGCGGCAGCGGCCCCATCCCCGATTCGGGGTACGGCCGGTGACTGTGGGCAGCGGGAGGCAGTCCGGACGCCACACGCCGCTGCTCTCCGCGAGCTTGGACACCGCACCATCGAGCCCCTCTCGCCTCCACCGCCGAAGCAGCAGCAGCAGACGCAGCAGCAGCAGCAGCAGCAGCGGCAACCCGAACCCGTGCGAGTGAAGTGGGGGATGCGGGGAGTTGGCGGCGGTGGCCTCGACATCTCGAAAGCCGGCGGGGGTATTGCGAACGACGCGGCTGTGCTGGTCGACGTGCAGGCGTACTCGAGTCTCTTCCCCCAACGCGGGCTGGGTGTCTGGCCGGAGCATGGATCGGCAGTGGCCCAGGTTCTCATCGTTGGGGACCACGGCTTCGAGCCATCGGGGCCGCTGGTCTTGCAGGCGGAGGCTGCTGTTTCCATCGAAACGGCTACGGTCAGGCGTGGCAGCGGCATGGTTCCTGACAGGGCTCTGTCGATCAGCCTGGAGATTCCCACCGTCCATTCCCTCAAGGTGTGTACAGGATATAGAGATTCCGACAGACTGGGTTTTACGACACCGGTGGCATGCCTATCCTTGGGAGTATTTCAGTACACGCAAGACAACAAGCACGATGTCAAGAGCTAGCTGCTGATTGGTCGGCAATGAACGTATCGTGTGGTGTTGGGGATATTGTAGGGGCATGCCTTCTCGTGCCGCCGTACCCGACGTCATCCGGAAGCGCTGGAATGCACGTTTACCCATTGCGCTGCGAACGCGCGCCGGAAGACATCGCAGAAGATTCTATTCAGGCTTGTACCGTTGCTTGCATCGAGGGGGCATGCACCCACTGCACCACTTTTGGCGCGTCTGGCATTGCTCTGCCTGTGGATGTGTCGAGGAGCACGCTGAACGCCGGTACTCACACCCGAACCCCCCCACCCCGTGCGGTATACTGTGGTGTTTATGAAGTATTTCCGTTTGATTGTTACCCGTGAACTGTACGAAGGACCCCCCGCTCGATATAGCTTCGTCTCAATGCCGTGTCGTGCCTCACCCGCTGCCCGTCGATTCTACCCCCTCCCCTTTTCCGGTGTACATGGACCGCGACGTCCTCGTGCTGCACAGGGCATCTTCGAGGTAAAGAAGACGAATGCGTCCGGAAGTCCCCTCATGGCCGTGTTCCGCAAGCCCGGGGCTTACTGGCTGGTGGACCACCTCTCCAAAGCACGCCTCAGGGTGACGGCAACCAAGCGCCCCGAGGGGGTTGTCCAAGCGGAAGACGCCGCCGCCGCCGCCGCCGCCGCCGCCGCCGCGGCAGAGCCTCGGCCGCCGCCGCCGTCGGAGACCGGCGCGGGACGGGACTGTGACGGTGCGGCGAAGCGGCAGCTGGGGCGGGCAGGTGGGGTGCAGGCCGCCGCCGCCCCTGCTCCCTCGTCACCGGGAGTCGGCGTTGTCCCGGGCATGACCCAGCAGAACACGAAGTCGGCTCGACCCGAGGAACCAGCTACCGGACGCCCGGAGGGGCAGGGGGCGGGGACGCACGCCGCGGTAGCCTCGAAAGGAAACGCCACGAGCCCGCCGCTCGAGAAGACGGTTGGCGGCGGTCGGACGCTGTTGTCCATCCTTCGGGGGGCGAGTACGACTCGTCCCCAAGGCCAAGAGAGCGCTAGCACTGACCAAAGCCCGGCAGAGGGGGGTTTGCCTCTCGCCGTCGCCATCGGCGAGCCCGCCACCGGTGGGGCTCTCCCATCCCCAGGAAACGGCGCCGGCAGGGCTAGAGCGGGTGGTGCAGATGGCGGGATAGCCTTTGGCGTTGGTGGCGTTGACGGTGGCGATGGCGGTGGTGGTGGTGGTGGTGGTGGCGGCGGCGGAGGTGCAGGGTTTTCGCTCGACATATCGGCGGTTTCTTTCACACCGCGCGAACCCAGCGACGATACGAGCAAAGGCGACTCCCCCGCCGTTGTTGGAGACGCCCGCAAGCCAGCGATGAGCCCCCGGAGCGAGTTTTATCAGGCAGCCGTGGCCGCCATCGACGCCAGCGGGCCCGCTCCCAAACCTCAGACTTCTACTCTGTTCCGGGCTGTAAGCGCTGCTACAGCCGGCGACGCGGCCGTGGCCAGCGCCGCTAGGAAGCCGTCGTTTGCCACCGCGAGCACTCCTCCGACCCCGCCAATCGTGGCGAAGCCGCCCGCGGCCACGTCGGCCCTGTACGAGGCCGCTCTCGCCGCCACTACGGCAGGGTTGCCCCCAGATGCTGGAACCTCCCGCCCTCAACTTCGCGCTGAAGCTCGCGGCACAGGTTTGGACCAATGGTCCCGACCTTGTAGACTATTTCCATCAACAGCAGCTGGTCGGGCCCCAACCCCCGCTGCCGTTGTACAGCTAGGCGAACAACAGGATTCGGCTGCAACCCACAACGCCGACACGCCGTCAGGCCCCCCTCCTGCCGTAGCAGCGCCTTCTGCAGCACCGGCGCCCGGCGTCACTCCCCGTGTTTCTTCTTCTTCGACTCCTACCGAAAGACACCAACCCGCCGCCGCCGGGACGGCTGCACCGTCCCCGTCGCCATCACCGTGTCCTCCTTCTTCCTCCGCTTTCCGCCAGGGTGGAACAGCCTTTTGTGGTGCGACCCCCGGCCCTTCCGTGCCCGCACCCCCCCTAGCGCACGGGGCGCAGACCATCCGTCAGGGCGTGGCTCCGACTCACGGGTCTGCTCGAGGCGTCACCGCCGCCGCCGCCGCCACCACCCCGGCCATCGCGGATACCACCGCCCCGGAGTCCCTCACGCCGTTCATTGTTGTTCGCGACGAGCGGAGCATGTCAGACGCGGTCGGAATGCTTACGGTTAGGGGGGAGAGCAACAACAAGGCTGAGGCGGGAGACGGAGGGGGGCGAGGAGGAGGAGGAGGAGGAGGAGGAGGAGGCACCGGGCGCCTCAGTAAGGCGCTGGAAGGGACTGGACCTGTGGCGGTTCGCCTTAACGGCACCAAATTGGGGGCATCGGATGGCGTGATCTCGACTATTCAGGTGAGGGTTACGGGGGCGCGAGCGGAGGCGGCGACGGTGGAGGAAACGTTGGCCATGCACTTGGAGTATACATAAATATTTCCGCCCGAAACTTTGGCCTCCTGGTAGTGTTCGCTGGGCCAACTGCAACGGTCTCTTCGAAAGCGTCCTTCTTTTACGGTGAAGCTTGTTGACGAGCCTATCGCAGCTTGTGCTGCTGCTGCTACCGATCTGCGTCGTGGGAAGAAAAATGCCCACGTCACGAGGCCTCCGTATCACATTGAACCCCCCTACGCAGGTCGCCACTGGAGCAGCGCCTTCGGTCTTGGTTTTCGACGTGCAATCCCTGCTCAACACACCTCAGGGCAGACAGGTCCTCTGCACGGAGCTACGCCCGGTTCTTGAGGATGCTGACATCGGCAAGGTGGGGGGCTGTTCGTTTTTCGCTGTCCTGAACCAGTGCCCTACCACGCCACTACGAGCAAGTAACGTGAACCGAAGGGTCGTACGGCCGTGCTCCGTTTTGGTTCAAGCAAATTTTGCGTGCGTTGTTGTGGTGTAATGCATGCAGTGCTGAGTGATGGTGCGTGGCGGCGGAGGCCTGTACGTCTTTTCCCTGCCGGACGGATCTAATAGCCGCATAGGTTAGCTGTGTTTTGATTAGCAGGCGGTTTCACCGCGTTCAGCAATAGCTAATAAGTGCGCACCCGCATGCATTATGTGTGTACACTGGGTTTGGACTATTCCCCCACTCCATCCCTGCTCGTCAAACCACTTTCCCGGGAAACAAACCAAGACACTTGATGCCACCGCCGCTGTGGCCGGCACGTACCGTAGACCCTCCCCTTGACCCGTCTTCCCTCTAACACCCCCTTGACACTTCAGGAGATGCACGACGCGCACGACCACATTGTGGCCCTTGCTCGCCTCCTCCAAGGGCTGGGTCTACGCCCGCGCATCAACTCCGTCATGGACCTGCAGCTGGCGCACGAGGCGCTCTGGGGGGACGCGCTCAACAGCTTCGGGGATGCTCTCCGTGCCTTCCATGTGTGCCGGAACCCTCGCCGGTGCGTTGAAACGAGATTAAGACTAGACGAGATTATCCCCACTCTCTGGTGCTTGTCTGCTATTGCGAAACATTTTAATATTGTGTTGGTTGCTGTCATCCCTCGCTACGTCCTTACCCGCCACCGCACCGTAGCAGTAGAGGCAGTAGCAGTAAACCGCGGTTTCGGCACTCTCCGCTCCGGCCAACGAGTGTTTGGCCCGGTGTTTGGTATCGATATCGACCAACAGCGTTAAGTCAAGAGTATTTTTGCTTCATCCCCCTCTCCCCCCCCCCCCCCTCATCGCTGACTTATTTCAGTCGAGGGTATCTACCCCTCATGGAAAATGTTGGCTTTCGGAGGCTCTGGAGGGAAACGAGGGAAACGTAGTCTTGGGTCTTGTGAAGAACTGCTTGCTGCGTGCCGGAATAGCCGCGTGTGAACCTTGTTCAATGGGCACGAGGTTGCGTGTACGTGAAACGGTGACTATCAAGATGGAGGTCTGCTAGAGTCTCACGGCTGCACGAGTTACTGTACCATACCGTAGCGGGTTTTGATTGAAGTTGAGCTGGTTTGCCCACAGCATCAGCACCCGTTCCACTTGAAATTGAGTCTAATCGAGTCTTGAGTACGCTCTTTGCTGTGTCACGCGCAAACCATGCCCGGGAATCGGTAGAGTGTTCCATGAGCGGCATAGGAAGCCATGGTTATCGTTCCGGCCGACCGGCTGTCTGTCCCTGCCAAACGCAATCCCTCCGCAACTAGGGGCGCAGAGAGCCACCTGTTTACTACCGATACCCATGCAAATTTCTTTCCTACCTTCGAAAATAGTTCGTTGAAGAGGGCACGACGTGAACGAAAGTATTGTGGGGTTGTGGACCAACCTTGTGTGCCCAGCATGGAGAGTTGCGACTACTCCATCGGAGAGGCAATAGGAAACGTTTTGATTATGTACACCGTTAAAGATAGGTGGCGAAAATTCTCGGACTCTTTGCGTATGCGACGGCTAGAGCTAGACAACTCCGACTGTTGTATTGTTGGATGACTGACAGACATCCCCAACGATTTTCGGTGCCTTTTGTGCTGCTACGCCACTACTGCACGGCACGCGTGTCATGCTATTCTAGGATGTTCTCCATGGACGGCGAGTGTGAGGGTCCCCCGAGCGAGGAGGTCCTGCAGCTGGCGGCGGACGGCGCGGCTCGACTCAGCGAGGTGAGTGCCGCATTGTTCCGGTGCAGCCCTCAAAATTTATTAGAGGTTGGGACGACGGTGGGCGTGGTTGATTTGGTTGATTCCTGATTTCAAATAAACGAAACAAGGCGTGAACTAGTGTGGCGGCCTTCAGGCCCAACACCGGCGGTCAAGGATGTGTATGGGCTGTAGAGGTCTTTTGCAACGAGGGTTCATGTACCCCGGGTTCGTCCGAGAGGGGAGAGACGGATAATCAAGCCGGTGCGGGGTGCTCCCCCACGGTATTCGTTCATTTCATGCTGTTGATTGGTGCGCCATTTAGGAACGCTCGCATAGATTCTGTCACTATGTAAGACCGCGTTGTGTTTGGCTGAACTGGCAGAAATTCTTGACTAGTTTTTCTGGTGACTTCCGCGGCTACAATTTGTTGGATCTGGAAGTCGGCCGCCGCAATTGGCACACCGCCGTCGCTTTAGAGTTTGCGCTTTACTGTAGACTACTGTAGACAGCGCTATGAAAAAAAGGTACACTCGAGCTTGTGGCTCGGGCGTGTGAACAGAGGAAGCCGTTGTATTGAAAACTGGAAATAGCTACAGTACGGAGGATCTTCGATGGTGGGGATACTTGTAAATGAGCTCACTCAACCATGTTCTGAATTTTTGTAGCATTTTTGTAGCATCGTACTAGTGCGTGTTTTTGTAGTGCTGGATGCTGTATGGGCGGAAGGTTTTGGGGTCCCGGTTGCCCTAATGTCCCGACTTGCCACTCAACGTAGACACAAATGCTTCTGTGTACGCAAGGAGTTAACCTCGCCAACTCTTGTCCCTCGTGTGCGACTGAATACCGCAGGCCTGCCGGCTGGCCAGGGTGGCTCTGATCGCCGCTGGGCAGCAAGAGCAGCACCGAGACCAGCGACTGAACAACGTTTTCAAAGCCTCTCAGGTGAAGAGGTTTTTCAAGCCCCAACCTCGTACTGTAAGAAAATGGCCTCTCACGCTATCGCCACACTTGCCGTTGTTCTATCGGGGGCTATGTTGACCTGTTGAAGAAGCCTCGCACGCCGGTGCGTCATTGGGTGGTGGCCCGGTGGGGACAAGACGGCCGAGGAACTCCGTGCTCTGCCCTGGAAATCAGCGAACGAAAACTAACCCAGGACGATGCCATAGACGTATCGTCATACGCGACGGAACGCCAAGGAGGTTGCCAGTGCTCTTGCATGCAGCCTTTGCTTGGATGGAAGGAGCTCCGTGTTGTTCACGAGACCACGGTGGTACTTTGCTCGCACGTCACTCTTAGACAAATACCGTCGGTCCGTTATTGCATTGCAGATGAAGGTCGACTCCGCCACGAACACCAAGCGAGATGGCTGGCGGCGCATGATGTTCGTCGATTTGGAGGACGGGAGGGCAGTGGAGGGAGACGCCAAGACTCTCGCCAGCTACGAACTCCAGAAGGCGAGCAGGGGGCTGGGTGGGACGCGGTTGTTGTTGTTGTTGTTGTTGTTGTTGTTGTTGTCATTAGTCACACATATTAACACCGCCAATAGAATAGACGCATCTCCACCCAAGACGAGTGTGTATAGCGGAACAAAAGCTACCACTGGTCGACGTTCATGGCTCATTTGTGCTGCAGGACCGACTGACTGACACCGTTAGGTTAGGGTAGGAGATAAACTCTTTGGCGGTGGAACCGAGTTTCTTCCATGCTCGATCGTGACGGGTGTGGCCTTCCAAGTTCAACCCTAGCTATGTTTTGCGGCTCCAACAGCCATTATGCTTTTCCAGCGCAACTAAACGGCGACTATGAACCACTTTAGTAGTATCGTGTGCAGCGCCCGGCGGTTTGGTCACCACTGTTTTGACGGGGAGAAACGTAGCGACGCGTTTTCCCTTACCGCAGGGTTGCCTTTTCTTTCTTTTTTCCCTTTTTCCTCCCGCGTGCAGCTTGAAGAATGGTAGTAGTACCATTGTCTTTCTTTAAAGACCCCGAGAAACAGCTAGCAAAGGCAATTTCCTGTACACTGCACAGAACAAGAGCGTGTGTCCATGACAACCAGTGCATTGGCTGCAGGAGAGAGGATGTAATGAACTGTGGAATATTTACGGCTACGGAGGCTATCCAAATGTTAAGTCAAAAGAGGTTTGGCGGGAGTCTTTTCAAGTATCTGTCCATTCTCTTGAGTTTCGCTCCATGGCAATGAATGACAACGATGCAGCGTCCACACGCCATGACGTCAAAGCGCCCGCGTTCCAACCAAACCAACCCACGGCCACCGTCCGTTGCAGGCTAAGGAGCGTACGGAGAGGCGCTGCGCCAGCAACGTTCACGTGGAGGCGGAAGTGCTATCGTCGCCATCTTCTCGAAACGACCCGGACAAGAAGAACGCCTACACCACCGCTAGGCAGGGCCTGTCGGAGCCCGATCTGTCGCAGCAGGGACGGGGGTACGAGAGGGACGGTAGCAGAATGCAGGAGACGAAAATCACCTTTGGCACCCTGGACGGCTCTCTGTCCAATGGGGGGACCGGAAACTCGGAAGCTGGTGGCCCGGGCCTCGGGCTTGGCGGCGGAGAGAGTGGAGGAGGGTCCCGCCCTCATCTCTTGATTGATGGCACGGGCCGCCTGGGGAACGACCATGAGGACGACGTGGAACAGAGGTGAATCGAATGGCTTGGTGTCGATGGTGGAGTTATGTTATGCTGTGGTGTGGGCGCTGTCTGGGTAAGGAGGCGGAGTAGCACACACAGGCCAACAAAGGTATAGAAGGTCAGCTCGTTTGGTGAGGCGGCGGGTTCCATGCTAGTTCTAGGAATGGCTGGCGATACGGAGATTCCAAAGGGTATATAAAACACAACACAACTACATGCATAGACAAAGACTGGCTTGACTTACCCCATTCACGATATCGCGCTTAAGAAAAGACGAGAAGAATCGCCATTGAGAAAGTGTGCAGGAGACACGAGCGTTCAATCGACAACACCGGCGCTTGCGACGCCACAGATCGCGGGTGCAGTACAAACAAGAGGAACGGTGTCTCACCTTTGCTCGGGCATTCAGCGGATCCTGGAGGGTTCGATTCCTTCTGTACTCCAAACTAATCCCCCTTCGCAGCTCGGTGTATGGTCGCCGACCATGATTGTTTTCCGCTGCCGTTGCGTCGTCGAACGACCTCCCTGCATATCGAACAGCATTTAGTTCCTGTTCGCCACCGATCGACAGGAAGCGTATCGACGTTAGCAGCGAGCAGTAGCGGCGAGACCTTGGGACAGCCGACATTCTTGAGAGTTGCACCGGTGTTCGTTTCCCTATTTCCCGCAACGTCTGCGGCCCCCTTGAGCCGAATACATGACCCTCCTCTCCACTAGGTTGCATATCCCAGCACTATTTAGTAGCATCTTTCCCTTCGTGCCCTCGCATTTCCCTCATTTCTGTCCCGCAGCTACCCTATCTCTCTTATCTTCTACCATATTATTTATTGGTTGGTCTGCCTGGCCCTCCCATTCTCTCTCTTCGATCCCTTTCCTCTATTGCTTCTCACAGTACATGCTCTTTATGTGTTCTCCTTTTCTCTTTTCCTGCCTTGGTCTTGTCCTCTGTGCCTGTCTTCCTTCCTTTATCTCTTCTTCCCCTTCTTTTCGTCTTTCGACCTACACCTCATACTCTCACCTCATCTAGGCTAGTCTCCCGCTCTTTCCCGTTCGGGAGCGTGCTTGCATAGGCGATCGCTTTGACAGCTACCCTTCCCCTTTGTGTGTGTCGCTCTTGCATACGCTTCTCGCAACTCGGTCTTCAAGGCTGCGGGATTTGCCGTCACCCGCCTCCTCCCGAAGAAGGGCCGCCGGCACGAGCCAAGGCGCCTCGAACGGTAGCGGCACCGGTACCGGCGGCGGCGGTACCGGCGGCCGAAGGTGTCAGGTTCAGCAGCAGTCGTGGGGTGCTGGTGGAGAGGACGACGTGTTGGAACTACTCAAGCACATGCCCAAAGTATTCGTGAACGATATCATGGCCCACAGGTACCGGTCATTGCGTTCAGATGGAGAGTTATTTCTTTTTGCGGCCGGATGACCTTGACTGATTTCCGCTTCCGCAACCGTAGTAGCGAACCAAGGCATTGGCTGTGACATGGTCATAAGAAGGTCATAACGGCATCAGCAAATGAACTGGACGTTGGGCACGTCACCCTGCTCATTCCTGTTCGGCGAATCAAAGCCTCCGAAAACAGTTGACATCGTTCGTTGTCAAGCCAGGGCATCACACAAACAGCCCGTGTAGTGAGGCGCCGTTGACGCCAGCCGCAACTAACGATTTTGCCAGGTGCCTTTTCACACAATCCCACCTACCGAATGTCGCGCTAGGCGCTCGCTAGCGGAGTGTCGGCACCAGGAGTCTTGCCGTTACCCGCACAAAGAATTAATCCTTCGAAATGACGAAGAGATTGTCTTCACCTCAAGTCTGCTCCTGTTGTTCTGCGCAGCGACGTGGTTTCCGGACTGGAAGAGGTCGTGCTGGACCAAGGGTGTCGTCCGAGGGGACTCGTTAAAGGCAAGCGACAAAATGACAAAAATAGTGAAGTGTCTGTCGGCTTTGCTTGAGCTGATATCGTGGCGAAACAGGATGGCCATGGTCGACGGCCCCCTTTTTGTTGTTGTGACGTCATCATCATCATGCCTTGGTTAGCTCTTTGGCGTGCAACCTGCAGACGCAAGCCTCACAAGTACTGCACGTGCCAGGGTATGAACTCAGCTGTTCTCTCCTCCTCGGTTGGCCGTGTCAAAGGTGTGCCCGATCTGGGCACGGAGTATCATGCTTGACCTTGCTGGCTGAAAGTCTGACGAGTGGGGTGGGGTATATTAGCCAAGCTTCTGTTTTGTCTGAATTTGTGTCTGGGCTTTCCCCATCCTCGTTTGAGCCCTCGCCGACGTTTTCATGGAGACATCCACCGCTGACCAAGGTGTAGTAGTTCTCACGTCACTTTTTCTCTCTTGGTCCTCTCTCGTCTTGCCGTTTCTCTCCTTGGACAATATTGTTTTCGTGTCTTGAACCAATCGGCGTGCTATAGGCAGGGGCAAGGTGTACCTGTGCAAGGACCGCGGCGTGCTAGTGACCCGATACCACCTCAACTGCGTCGTGGGCAAGCTGGAGCACTTGGGTCTCTTCGGGAGGGACAACATGGCGGGGTTCGACGGACTGCTGCACAGGGTGGGAGTGATGCGGGACAAGGTGCGAAAATTTAGAAACTACGAAGCCCCCACCTCAACCTATTTTAGGTAGAGTGTTGACCTCCCTGAGCTGGGCTTGATGATTCAAGATGGACACCATGCCGTGTCTAGTTGGTGGCGGGCCCATCTAGGGCTGGTTATGGATCGGCCGTCATCGTAGCGTGTGGCATATGAGTTCGATTCGTACTTCCATCTTCGCCCCTTGAGTAGACGATAAGTACGGTCTACGCCGTTGGTGCTAAGGTGGCAGCACCACAACACAATTAAAACTCGCCTACTTCGAAGTGTGTTTCTTGGCATTCCCGTGTTGCTTACGTCAACGTTCTCAAGAAATCCCGCGCAGGGTTACGTACCAAAAGTGTTTTTTCATCACCGCCGCCGGCATCGCCTTGTTTATCGGGAGTAGCGTTAGCATGTCCATGCTGTTGGCCGGCGTGCTAGATCATGGTTGGGTCGTACGTACAACGCCTTTGTGTATATGTCACGGCTACTAGCGTCATTCTTATTATGGAACTGTAACGGTTCCTCCCTCCCCCTTGCTGTCGGTGTGCGTTGTGAATGATTTCCGTTGTTCCTCCCTGGGATCTGTTTACGCCTTACCTGACATCTTTCATATTTCATACAACGTGTGACGTCTAACGTTTTTTTCTCCTTGTCTTGAAAATATTAGGCCACGAGGAACTGGATAGACGTCGTAACGGTTTTGTAAAATTCACGTTGTGACAACATCGCAGCAACAAGGATCAGATCAGCAACATTTTCACCTTTCAACCCCTGGGTGACGATTTGAACAACAGAAACAACCTCATCATGATCTGCAGCAACAAGAACAACGACAACTTGACACTTTTTGCCGCGCAATTCGCATTCTGCGCTTGAACCCAGAGCCATGCCCGGGTTGTTCGCCGTTCGTGGATAATTTTTCGTATCTATTGGGCTCCCTTTCAAGAGGGGCTCTCGTTATTACGGGGGAGACTGTGCATGCAATTCTAACTGTAATTATTCACCGTTGTATCGCATCTCGTCTGCGGTTTCCTTGAGGCCAATACCCTGATGATGGTTGATGCTTGATTCACTCGATGGTTATTTGTCAGGGCGGCAAGATTTACGGGGTGACGATTCGCGTGGGCCGATACGCCAAGGGCATGGCAGACATGGTCGACGACCTCCTCTTCAACCACCACACTGCAACAGGGTCTGGTGCGTTAATTTCGCCGCGCTTTCGCTTGTGCGGGAGAGGATGAACAACCGAGTTTCGACAAGGGGGTGTGTTACGGTACAGAGGCCAAGAGGGACGGTGGCGAGGGAGCATGCGTTTCACTACGTTAGCATCTATGTTCGCTGGACAAGACGGAACTGTGAATGCGCAACACTTTTTAGAACGGGTTGGGAGGTTCTGTTCCGATAGTTATTAACCGTTGCGACACCTAACCCGCCGCCTGGAGCGATACAGTACGACACCGAAGGTAATGCTGTAGGGATGTTGCCACACGAATTAGAAATGATCTCCGCGGTGCTCACATAGCCATGAGGTGCCCACGTATGCCTTGAAAGTAGAGGATGCCGCTACATGAAAAACCGTTATGATTATGATTATGACCCCACGAGTAAGTGACAGCACTGGGGGGAAATGTACCTGCGTCCGAGGAAGAAAGGGGCGCGACGGCAGCCGAGAAATGCTTGAAATCTCACAACCCAACATGTCAACGCATGTGCGTCAAAATCTGCACACAGGAAAGCGGGCATCCCAGGCGCCGGCTTCGATTCTGGTCCTGGGTAGGCACGGAGCCGGGAAGACGACGCTCGTGCGAGACATGTGCCGAAAGCTTTCGTCCCACGAGGTGTGAGGGTTGCATCGTTGTGGATGCCTAAGTATCCAGAGAAACCTCAGAAACGAGTACGTCGTGATGTGTGCCTTCAGGTTTCTACAGCAATTTCTGTCGTGGCCTCTGGACACGTGAAGAATGGGCGGCGACGCCCCTGCTGTATACCGTATGCAGAAATGATCCCTTGGAAGGCTAAGAATAAGGTTAACGAAGAAACCAGAAACCTTCCCTAAAGAGGGCGCGTAGGGTACCTCAGGGGTGGCGATTGAATTACATCCGCAGTTGCATGCATTCAGAAAAAAAACGCAATATTTCTGCGGTCTGGGTCACTGTTTTTCTTTTCCAAGCGTCTCTCTGAGAGCTAGCTCCCTTGGTGTTAGTCTCGTTCCCCTCGGTTGCGGTCTTTTCGCACATTCGGTGAAACGGACGCCTTTTTTTTTTTCAGACTGTGGTGATCGTGGACACGAGGAGCGACATCGGAGGCGCCGGCGTCGTCCCTCACAGACGCGCTATCGGGGAAGAGAGCCGCAGGGTCATGGTCCCGCAAGGGATGCAGCAGCACGAGTGAGCGTGCCGATGAGACCCCGATTGAGTTGCCACCTTGTGGGCGGATCGGATGGCGGCGATAGAGAACTCCACCGGTGTCCGAGAGTGTTACAAGTATAGGTGCTGGCTTTTTCTAGCATGCGGGACGATGTTCGCCCAGCGGTTTCGTTTCGTTTCGTTTCGTTTCGTTTCGTTTCGTTTCGTTTCGTTTCGTTAGTTCTCGTCGTAGAAAGGTCTCGTCTGGGCGGTGCAAGTCGACGTCGGTTCCAACGGATTCCCGACGGTTTACGAATTGACGCGAGTTCTACAGAGCGTGGTACGAGGGGCAGGCATCTTGATCTGTTCTGCCCAGCCTGCAATGATGGGGTTGGCGGGTTTGCCGCGTGGGTAATTGTGCGGCACCGCTCTGACCCCTTGGGGCTCCTGTTGAACTTTTCACATGTAGTTGAAAATATATTTTACCCAACACCGGCGTCGTAGTGAAAGTTTCGCTATCGGTGACAACGAGATCGGCCGTTGAGTGAGGCATGCTTCCATACGGAATGCTGTGGCACATGTCAATATTGTCTACATGGGATGGTTGCGGTAGAGAAAAGCTTGACCGCCATCTTCTCAAGCGTTGGTAACACGTTCAAGGTCCTCGTGTTGCGCCGCACGCCGTTCGTCGGGATGTCAACAAGGCCGAACCCGGACTGATGCTGTTTTTCGCTGCCGTCTCTCCCGCTGCATCCACGTCCCTGGACTCTCTTTTTTGTGGTGGTAGGGTCATTCTCCAAGCCTACCGAAACCACAGCCCTCAGACAATCGTGGTGGACGAGATTTCCTCCCAGCTGGACATCGAGGCTTGCATGGCGGTCAAAGCCCGGTGAGACAAACTACTTCACCCACTCACGGTAGCTCATAGCACACGCAGAGAGGTTTTGCAAGAGGCCCACCCTCATATTTGCCATTAATAGCGCGAGTTTGTCGCACGTGCTTGCCCGCTGCTTTGGATGTTTTTCAACCCCTAGGCTACGAGTATTGGCGGTAGTGCTGCCGCTGTGCCCCTCTTTGTTAACGGCTACAGCTAGTGCTTGTGGTGTCGGTACTCTTTTCCGTGAAGCAGATCAAGTCTCCAAGTTTGCCCAACCGAGCGGTCTTTCCCCAAGCAGCAACAGTCAACGTATCGCCATGTATCACGGCAACCTGCACCATCGCCATAAAAAATCAATAAAGACTACGTGAATTGCGTGCGCTATCGAATCATACTGCCTGAGGACTTGTATGGACATTTTTCGCCATACCTCACTCCCGACCTTTACTGTACTGACCCCCTGCGCAGCGGCATTCGCGTTGTAGCCGGTGCTGTGGGCGACCTACCCTACGTTCTAGACAGCCCGGAAATCGGCGCGGCCCTCGGAGGATTGGAGGATATACAACGTTCAGCCAATGTCGATGACGACAGCGACGACCAAATGGTGAAGGGTTGTTGGTCGTCCAACTTGACGCTATGTAGTGTTCTGCTGTCGGCGTCTATTCCAAAAGCTTCGGATTGCTGTTCTGTTCTTTTCTGGTGTTTCGGTGGAGATTTTTTTGTTGGCGAATAGCCGAACACATGAACAACATGCGATGTTGCGGTGATAAGAAGTTGTCGAGAGATGGCGACGAGCTGAGCTGTCGCCGGACCTTGCTCAGCTCAACCTATGCATACGAGGAGACAATACAAGTGGCTCAGATGGTTGGTCTTTCCGAGGTTTGTGAGTGTCGTTGCATGCGCCTGGAAACATGATCGTATACCAGAACCATTAAGAGAACACTTGCGCACGGACTCCCCAGACAAGTGATAGATTCGCACACAGATCCCCCAAGACACGTGTTACAGTACTCTCGGTGACCTTTTCATCATTACGCCCTCCGGGCGACGAACGACCTGCACGCATGCGTCGGGGAACGAAAGGAACGACGCGCGGGCTCGCCGGTGTTCGAGGCGGTGGTCGAGCTGGAGGGAAGGGCGGGAGGGGCGGCGCCGCAGGGGGCGGTGGTGACGAACGTGGAGGCTGTGGTGGACGAGCTGCTGGACAAGGGCTGCGTGACACGTCCCGAGATGAGGGCGCCTGTGGGTGAAGATGACGTCATGCTTGACGAGGTGCGCACTTGTAGGGGTGCTTTGAGATGAGAAGTCGGGGGTATGTTGCTGTTGCTGGTATATACACTGTACCAGTGTGCACATCGATTATGAACATGAACTGGCTGTTTTCGATCGACCAACCATGTGTCGTGCTTGGCCGTATCTCAGCGCAACAAGCCGATTCTCAGTTCCATGGTTTCGCGGAAAGCATTTCATGACTTGCTGGCGGTGGTCCAACTAAAATAGAGCCGCGTTCGCCCGGCGGGAAATTCTTAGCTTCTCCGGAATGGAGATTTTTTGCCCCATGTTTTGCCTCACCTCTGAGTAGGCTACCAGTAATGCCAGGAAGTGGTTATTGTGCTTTCCATTTTCGCTGACCCCTCTCTACCATTCCTCTTGCCCCAGCCTGGCCAGGACTGGGAGCCGTACACATCGTCTCACATCGGCTATCGCCATACCACGTTTTATTGTCATTTAAGTACGGGTCCGGAGAAGAAACAAACGTCAATATCGGGTCGAGGCACAGCTTTTTATTTCGTGGCTACTGTCAAGTCGAGCGCAGGTTGCAAATAAGTGCGCTATAGAGTTTAATGCAAAGATTCACCGTGTTCTGCTATAGGCGTGTTTCTTGACCCACTTTTTTTTCTTTCATGTTTCGTGAAAATGTGAGCGTTTGTTTCTCAACAAAATGGTACTTGTATATCTTAACTGCGGACCCGTACCGTATCGTACCACATTCTAGTCTCACCGACTCCGTACATGCACACGTTCACGGTTTGGTACACACACGCCGCCACCGACCCGGTGTGGCGCTGCTTCTTTCTCCTGTCTTCTGTCTCTGTTTTTGTTGTTTTCTGTTGGGAACCAGGACGCGGGAGAAGATGCCGCGGGAGGGATCGGGGGCCATGGGAGCTGCACCCCCTTCTTGCGCAAAGTTTCACGCGACCAAGCGGACAAGTGGGTGTGGTAGGCCGGCCCTATCGCGTGGAAATAGGCACATTTGAGGAGCACACGAACACTAACACGACGAGCTGGACATGCATGTCGCTTTGGTAGGCTGGCCCTCTGGCGTGGAAACACAATGGTAGAGGAGAGCATGGAACTACTGTTGCTATTTGATCGGGGGGGGGGAAACGATAAGCGACAAGGGTGTTGAACCCCGCGGTTAGTCGCAGACGCACGTTTGGTGATTCTATATGGGGAGAATGGTTGACCTGCACAAGGCGGGGGAGTCTATAATGTTGCACTGCTACCCATTTGACGTATTGACGTTAGCGAAAGTTGCGAAGGGTGCTATCGCTACTGCAGAGAGGAGAGGTGTCGCCGTTGTCCCGAACCTCAGCAACCGTGGCCATTCCTGGTGTCTTCTAGCAGATGCCCATTGCTGCCGATCGATGTGTTCCGGGTGAAAGTGCCCTGTACTGTAGGGTGTATGGTATTTGGTCAAAGGAGGCGAGAGGCGTGGTCGTCGCTGAGTCATGGAGACGACGAAGTTTACTGCTGGGGGCAAACGACTTGTAGGATAGGGTTTACACAACAGGAGCGAGCGGCGATCACACCACGGGTTGTTCCGTTTGCTGGAGTAACTGCAGCACGTACGTGTGGATACATGCGGCGTGTGGTTGGTCCAGGCTAGAGGCGGCGTGTTTTTCTCGGTGTTGTTCTTTTTACTTTACGGACGGAATTATGTTTTTTTACCATTGTACGAAAAATTTGCGTTGTGCGAGTAGGACACAGAAGGACAGAATTGCGGACGCATGATACATGATCAATGCACAATACCTACTGTAGGAATAGCTCGATCTCCGAACGGGGCATACAAATCGGAGATTGAATGATGGAATTTTTTCAATCACCTTTGTTATGGGAAGGTACACTTGCCATGATTTGGGCCGGCGTGGCAAGGACCTACGGTGTTCGCTGCATGCATCAGGTGTATGTACCAGTAGAAATGTAGAGTGCTTCGCTCATCGTGCAAATTTCTACTGGGTGCTTCAGTGACTGTACGAATTGGAGGGAACAGCAAGCGCACCCACATAATATATGGCAAGAATTTGGCGTTGCGTATGAGGGATGATCTGATGTGCTCTTTGACACGTGGCATGCGTGAGAGGTGCAAGGGGCACGGTTGTCGATGTCGTTCGATAGATTGCACGTCGCAGTCAAAGAATCTGATGCTGCTTCTCGTCGTTCAACTCACTTAGTCTAGGTAGCTAGTTTCCCCGACAACGCAGCCAGCCCCAGAAGGACAAAAAAAGAAGATGTCTGTCTCCCTCAAACTTGAACATCGTGCGCTTCCAAGACTCGGCAGTCATCATCATTGTATCTACAAGAGCTCATGCAAGCGATCGGCCATGTTACTATTGACTGTCACCGAGAGAGAGGGGGGGGGGGCGACGAACCTAATGACCGGTTCAAAATAGATTCGGAGAACAGTAATGAAAGAGCTGTCGCACGGTGTTGTTGCCCCGCGCTTTCCACAAATATCTAGCAACACTAGGGCGTTCAAGGTGACCAGGAGGATAGCTGAAGCCACATGCTGTCGACGGGATACAGCAGTAGCATCTTGACTGCAACCCGTGCCGTTTTTTCTTCGTGGGTTTTGCTGCTGTGATATCTTCGGGTATCCCTCCTTTTCTTTCATCATCATGACGCGTTTGCTTCAACATACACACACCACGTCGCCTCCCCACAGGCTCACAGGTGGATACTCCCCCCGGGTGGGATTCTAACGGGCTGGCGGTTATTTTTGCATAGTGCTGCGGCCGCAGGGTTTTGGGGTGATGTTCTCTTGCGCTCGGGACGTCTCTCGACTCTCGACGGTTTCATCGTTTTTTTTCGTCGGAGCGAGCTGTTGAAACCGAAAACACGTGATGGTGCCACCGCCTACATTATCTTTGCAACGCCGCCGTACACATGCACCAGGATGCCCACGGCGGCGATCCTACGACCCCCCTCCCGACAGCTTTCGGCAGCTCAACTGCTAGCTCTGCCGCACGTGCGACGCGGTGCACGAACGTGCCACCTGCTGTGAGCCTACAAAGGCAGGGATGTCATGGTCGAAGGTCGCTTTCGGGGCGGCGAAGTGTGCGAAGGGTGTCGTGGAGCATGAGACGGCTTTCAAGACAGCTCTAAAGGGAGGCATCACAGGTAGGTGACACCTATTGGTACTACATGTAGCAGTATGCTTGAGCAACTTGTCTTTGTTTGCCCCGCCGCTGGCTCTCCTGTCGTTCTCTTGTACTGGTACAGTACCCGTAAGCATGTTCAGCAGCAGCGGTAGTACAGCAGTGCAAATGTCCTTTGGGCTACATGCACCATTGGCCACTGCGCTCGACTACTGCTGTACCATGTGTACCAAACTGCCATACACACATTCGTTTTACAGCAGTGTATCATGAACACCAGGGCACCAGGGCACACAGCAGTAGTGCGGTCTGTCTATCCGCTACAATTGCTTAGTACAGCTTTAGTTTTGCCCGCCCCGCTCACCATGTCCGCCTGGTGTGCTAGTCTTTATCAACGTCTTTTCCGTGACACACATGTGTTGAACGATGTGGCGCTTTGTTCTTACATTTTGACCCGCTATTTGTAGCTGTATACCTACTTTTTGTACCTTGGCAAGGGTAATAGTCTATAGCGGCAGTTGCCGTGCTGACTTGACTTCGAGCCTTATGTTTCCTCTGCTTCCCCGGTGTGTCCCTTGTATCTCGTGTAGTCGTCGACACCAGCGCGAATTACATGGGCGGAAACAGCGAGCTCTTGGTGGGTGAGGGGGTCGATCGGTGGCTGGCCTCTGGCGAAGGCAAAGACACGAGCATAACGGTGGTGTCCAAGTTCGGCTACGCCGCGGTAAGCTTGGGAGGTCAATTTACGGTCTGTTATTTACTCCATTGGTCCGAGAGGTCCCAAGAGGTCTAACCTAGCGGCCGCGAACTGCTGTGCTAAAACGCGGCTGCACCGCTTCTTCGGAATACGGAATGGGGAGAGAGCGCTGGAGAGGAATCGACCGCCCGAACCAACGCTCGACCAATCAGAGGGCGTAAAAGCCAGTAGATGGGAAGAGTCATTATCATATCAGACCGTAAAAACTTCTGTACTGAAGCTTGGGTGGCGGCTGGCCCGCACGTGTTTGAGGGGACGGTGGAACACCACGAAGCCGCCGTACCGAAGGAGAAGCTTCTCATTGCCTGCACGAGCAAGGTGCTGGGTACGCTCTGTTGGTTGGTTGTTGCATCACGAGGTTAGAAGGGCAGGGTGCGAGGTATGCACAGCAGTACAGGCATGAATTGAATCCGTTGAGCCGAGTACATAAGTTGCCATCGCGGCGAAATAAATGCTCGGTGTTCACTACCACACTAAAACTAGTATGTCACCTTCAACACGTTGTTGCCACACAGCAGTACCAGCATGGCAGTGTACCCTTCGACGTGTATGTACCTTCACCAGACCTCGATAAGATGACCCTGGTGTTTCGAAACTATTATTACCTCATCGATCAGGCGGGCTCGAAACTCCCAGGAGTAGCGCACGTCGTGCCCGGTCTCTCCCACTCCCTCCACCCAGATTTCTATCGACACGAGCTGTCGGCTTCCACCGGTCGCTTCGGGGCCACCGAGATAGGCGCGTACCTCGTGGAGCACCCGGAGCACCACCTCGCCCTCAAGCTAGGACTCGCCGGCGGCGAGAACGCCTCCGCGACCGGGGACGGTGGCGGTCCGTCCCCGCCCAGCCAGGCCCAGCTAGACTTAGCTCGGGGCTCGTTCTACGAGGAGATGGCGGCCTTGTTTCAGGCGATGGAGGGACAAGCAGGGAGAGGGATGGCGTACGGGGTGAGCTCGTTGGGCCTGTCGCTACCGACGTGGGACCCGATGCACGTGTCGTGGGAGAAGCTGGTGGAGTGCGCGGAGCAGGCGGCTTCCAGGGCTGGGCGAGACCGGTGAGGGGGGCTTCCCTGAGCGGACGGGACTTTTGCGGACCTTGTCCGGTGCTTGTAGGCCGGCAGCGCCGTGCCGCTGCCATCGACATCCGGTTATTGTAGGTCTAGTTGCTGCTGTTGAGCGATGAAACTGGGCGTTGTGTCTTTACGCTGGAGGTTTGTGGTTCGGTTTTGAATTTTTGTGCAGGGTACCAAGGGAAGGTTTTTTCTAATCGGTCATAAACCCTTGCGGCGATTTTTTTTTCTGACATGACCGAAGACCCTTGGGTGACGGCGGGGGTTGCCCACTGTCAATCGGTTAGACAAAATGTTGGGCATTTCACGGAGACGTGGTTTCGTTCAGCGATGAAGTTTCAAGGCGTCTGTCTGCACGGGGATGCGTGACCGACTGCTCCCTTTGAACATGTGGAACAGCTCGACGAAAACCTTTGTTGTGCGTCTTCGACTGTCATCGGTGCAGCAACTAGTGGTGCCACCGTTTCATTTTGCACATACATGCCCGAATATCATGTTTCTGGTGATGTTCGTAACGTACAACTAAACCATGTATTTGCAAAGAAGACGTTGGCTCTAATGATATTCTCGCTACAAGGTGGCCGTGCGTGTGCCAATGTTTAGTCAGTTCACCGTTATTGGCGCACGAGTCCGTTGTCGTTATCGTTCACCCTTTTGACGGTGGGTCTGTTGTGTACCGGTTGTCGTGTCATACAGGCACGCCTTCAAGATCGTGCAGATGCCCGCTAGCCTGCTTGAGGTCACTGGGCTTGCCACGGCTCCGGCGATGCAGAAGGCTGGTCTGAAGGTGACTTGTCGTGTTCGGTTTTGCTCCTCTGTCCCGTAGCTTGTTTTTTTTCAGCTGTGCTCTCGCGCGCTGTGTTCCACCAGAAAGGACCGTGGGGTGCCATGTGCAAATGCGTTCCCTGTGATGGGTATCATGTGATCGTGTGAGGTCAATGCTCCAAGGGCCCGCTGCACAGCTGGCCTGTGCATGTGATACCTTCTCTGAGATCCTCTATATCTCTCGCCCTCCCCACGAGTTGCACGCATGCGCATGAGTCGGTGGACGTGTACGATGGAAACAACAGTATGTTCGTCTGCGGCAATTGGATGTATCCACCTACGCGGTGGCGAGCAGCCAAGATCACTTGACGGCGCGAAATCGATTTCAAGTCAGTTGCTGATGCGCACCTCTTTTGCGGGCACTTGGCCTACCTGCTTTCCTATGGTCGCCCGTTGTCCATGCTCAGGTCATGGCATGCCACCCGCTTAGGGCGGCCACACCAGAAGGCAAGTTCGAGCTAGTGGACGACGCGCTGAGAGGAGGTCTGCCGAAGGATTACATGGACGTGTGCAGGTGGGGGGCTCGGCGCTCCCGTTTTTTTTTTTTTGTGTTTTCACGTGCCCCCATCTAGAGATCGCCGATGAAACCGCTTTGTGACCCCTGGAGGTGACGCACCGGCAAAGAGGCTTGTTGGTCTGTACCGGGGACAGGAACACTGGAATTGCGCGCGTGCGGGGGGGGTCTTAGGAGAGGAGTGCTGCTGGTGTTGGGTTGGTTGCGCTTCGCATGCGCCTCTTGTGGCTTCCATTTCACTGTTTCTCACTTTGGCAATGTTGGTGATCCTCTCTTTGTTTGTTTGTGGACGCAATCTCGAGTTGCCGAACAGTGGTTGTCGGTGTAAGAGCTACGCGAGATTTGACACTTTGCTGTCTCTTCGCAGCTGCATGCAGTGACAATGGGAGTACTCTTCCTCAGATCTTACCACGCAACGCCATGTTCGTTGTGTTTATTTCTTGGCGTGACAGAGAGGTGCTGCATCACTTCAACCTAGAGATCCCCGAGGACCGAGAGCCCACAGAAGAAGAGGAAGAAATTAGACAGGTACAGGTACACTCCGTCATCGAAGCAGGGTGCACGCTGGTAGCGCACGCAGGTTTTCAATGCGGTGCAGCGCCCCGCGCGCTGTGATGCTGCGGGCGCCAGAGTCTTTAACAGCTAGTCTAGCGGTTTGATATCGGATTTCACGTGTCTCATGCTTTTATTTATCGCGCATAGACCTTGCAGCTGAACGCGCTGTTCGTCACGGTTAGTGCGCACGAGCTGTGCTAACACTCCACAAGGAAACCCATGGCGCAATACTCCTAAGATTGTCCGCCACCACCCGCCCCCAAGAACCAAATTACTTTCCCACCTGTCCCTGGGGAGACAGACGCGTCACTGCTGTCAGTTTGTTCCTTCACTTTTCGGTGACGGCGGTGGAACGTTGCGCGGCAGGGGTGTCGTTTCCTTCAGCAGCTGGTGCAGGATATGAACACGCAGCTTACGAAGTTCACCTCCCTGGAACACTACGAGGCGGAGCTAGGGGGAAGCATCACCCCGATGATAGCAGACAAGTTCGAGGCCCTCGACGACGACTCGGCAGATCTGTTACAGGTGAAGTAAAGTGAACACTTTGGTTGTGTCGTTTCGTGCGGTCAACACTTGCTGCTGGTAGTCCTGGAAAGAAGGGCGAGCAATAAGTTGGTCTTTCTGTCGTCTTAGCACGTGCGGTGATTGGCTTTGGTCGGTCTGTTGCCCCCTGGTGGAATGTTTGCGTAAAGGAGGTGCTGGACATTTGTCGGTTAGAGCATTTATGCGCGAAGAAAACAACAACAAGACTGATCCAATGTGCTTCTTGCCTGCAACGATCCCCCGTGATAAATGGGATAAATGGGCTTGCACAAATGTTACGCGTGTGCATGGAAGAAGGATGTACGAACCAAATCCCCAGCTTGGACTAGGCGGTACCGCCGCCATTCCCCGTGCACTAGCTTCCAGGCCGTGCAAAGTCAATGGCATGTCCTAACTCGCGCTTCAATCCCCCCCTCGCCTTTTGCCTTCGGCTGCATGACCCACTGCCAGAATTTTTTCGATCGCTACGGGAAAATGGTGCGATACAGCTGCGCGCAGAGAGTGCGAGATATGGCGACGACTGGGAAAGGTTGTCCAAGTGGGGCCCATTTGTTGGCTGATTCGGAGCCCCTCCAAATTTACGCTCTTCGCTGGTTGATGGGTAGCCCGGGGGTAGGCTGCACGGTGGTAGAGATGGAGCAGGCAGAAAAAGTTGAAGAGGGGTTTGCAGCTCTGCGTCGAGAATAACCAACGGTGGACATCTACCCTTTGATGTGTGTTTTTCTCTTCTCTCTGGCGAAGTGGATTTGTTCGGGACCGCACTGCCTTTTTTTTCGGCGAATCAGAAATGGACAGCGGACGAGCGATTGCTGCCACTCAATTGTTGCTGCGACACTCCTGGACATTCCCATCACATTTTTAGTACTGGCACTGTTTTTTTTTCGACGGGGCTGCGTGTTTTCTATTTCGTGCGGCGATCCGCCGCCTCCAATATCTTGTCCGTCATTTATCTAATCGGAACCTTGGGCCTCCGGCGAAACGATGAGGATGGGTCTCTCTTTTCGCGATGCCGCCCGATTATTTCGCGACCTCTCTCTCAGCGTTGGTCAGGCCATGCCAAAGCCAAACACCGAGCTCACGAAACACACCCATGTTGCTTCGGTCAGACTGCAAACTCCTCGTGTTTGTGGTGCACCGCCAAACTATTTTTTGCTGATACACACGTCCTGGCAATGCTGTGCTTCGTTCTCGACGCTGCAGTGTTCTTTTTGGCGCCATCCTCAAAAATCGAGGATTATCGGGAATTCTACTGGACTGGGCGCCTTTGGTGCATGGTGGTGATCGCTGTCGTTGTCGCCGTGTTACAATATAGGTCGCTCTCTTTCTCCTCTTAGTCATTCTCTCGGCATCACGGTGCTGTAACAGCGGTAGGTAACTTTAGTAAAACTCACACGGGGGAATAACATAGCGCCGGGATAATAATGTAGTTGGCGATTATACTGTTCAGGAACGATGGCCGGCACTTGCGAGTGGAATTTGCACACTACCAGTGGTTCCCTTCCGCCGCGGGAGCGCCTCGCTGACAAGGTGCGCGTGTCTGATTGATCAGCCGGGCTGCTGGTCTTGCTTTATTACAGCAGTGCGTTTGCTTGCCGGAACAATAGCGATCGATGTAGCTGCGCGTGATGATTTGACACTCGCATGCAAGCCGCATCTGACGATGTGAGAGACATGAGGCAGCTGAAGGTTGGACGTGCATAGTGTTCGTGCTGCCATTCCGCTGCACTATCGATCCTGAATGTGGCCCGTTTCTCACGATCAAACATGATAGTCGAAACGGCTATTAGTCTAAACCGTCTGGACGTCTGGACTACTGCTGTACACTTGCACACATGATCGATAAAAGATAATAAAGAGGCGAGGATTGGCGTTGATTGGCCGAAGGTCAGCAGTCTCGCCGGGGCCCAACAAATGAGAGCGCACTGTACAACCAACCCGCCTTGTGCATGTGTGGCTGATGGTGGGGACGTGGGGACTGCTGTGCTGCTGTGGGTCCAGCAGAGACTTGCATGAAAGCTTGAAACTCGCGGACTGACCACACCCCAGCACCGTTGCTGCCAACACGGTCCACTCGGAATAGCACGCCCCCCGTCTTCTGCAAGGGAGTCTAGTCTCTAACCACCGCTTGACCACACCACCACGAACAGGCGACTGCCGCGAGGAACCTTCTGTGAGTGATCGTCCATTGCGAAAAAGCAGGAGTGGTGCTGGTGCTGTGTGCTGTGCACTGAAGAGCCTACTTTGGTTCTACGTCTGCGGAGGCGGGACGTTGGAGTATGGATAATTCGAATATGATACCAAATACCAAATGGGTAATTGGTACACAGCATGGAAGGGGGATTCCTGTAGAAGATGCAACCCGTGTTTATGTTATGGAAAGATGTTCCTCCTCCCATCTCTGCAGCCCGTGCAACAGGGTACATATATGCATACCAGACACTACCGCCAATTTTGCAGATGGGGTGGGAGGTCTGAGCAGATCTCACGCCCTCGTGTGTTGAACTATACCCACAGGCTGGTGCTACTGGTCGAACGGTATATCTGTCGACTACATGTATGGGTGCTGTATGAGCGCATCACCACAAGCCCGGGCATCGCACAATTGGGTGTCTGTACTGCTGTACAGCAGTAAGCTCGCCAACTATGTACTTGTACAGTAGGGGCCCCGCTGGAAGGCCGCTTGAATATGGCCGCCTGCCCTTGTATAAGGTCGGTGAAATCGCTCGGCACAGACTTTGCCCTCTATGGCGACCTTATTGAGGGCATTCCCTCTATAAGGCCGGTTATGGCCCCCAGCCTGCCCCCGATAAGGCCGGTATCCGTAGAAGCGACGCTGGTTTCGCCGCATACTACTACACCCTCTCTCCTGTGCGCCACGGTGTCGGTGCACTTCGGCGCTCTGGAGAAGGCTGCGGAAGACAGCGGCAATGCTGAGGCCGCTATCTTTCTGCAGAGGGCCAAGATGGTGATGATCGCAGCGCATGCCGCACTGCCCACGCGGCAGGCGGACTTGAGGGAATTATTATTGACGTGATGAGCGCATGGGAGGAATCTTGGTAGCGTTTGCTGTGTCGTTGGTGGTCTCGTTTTTTTTCAGGAGATTTTGTCAGGAATGGGTGGTCTGTGCCCTTACATGGCAGGAATAAATGCGTGGTGCTGCTGTGTGCTCATCTGTTGTTACTTTGGGGTTGCAAAACAAGAAGGGGTGTACGACTTGATGGGCATTTGCCTTTCCGTTTTTGAGTGGGGGCGTACTTTTGGGCCGAGGTCAAGACTACCGTGCCGTCTTGAGCCGTTGAATGCGTTTCTCGCTTGACTTGTTTTCCCTACGTCAGGTGTTCGTCTCTTAAGACTACATAAATGCGACGGACTTGTTTCCTTTTCTTTTCTGCGGAACGTGGGGATCTGCCTGATGTCTAGAGTATTTTTTAGCATGGTATTTCTGTATCACACCATTTCATTTTTGATTTCTTACCGGTTGGACATGTGCCTGAGAGACGAGGAACGGTTGGATGGGAAGCATGAAATGAATGCGATCGCAAAGCACCGATTGAAACTGCGTCGTCCGCTTCGTATGGCCTAGTGTAGGCGCACGGGTCCTCAATAAGGCCGGTACCGGCCTTTACCGGCGTTATACAGGGCCGATTCTCAGTAAGGCCGGGTGCCCTCAATAAGGCCGGTTTATTCTCGTAGCACTATGCGGCCTTACTGCGGGCCCCTTACTGTATGTACCAAAGCATACCCCGGCAACACAGCTTGAAAAGGTGCTGATGAAGGCCGGAAGCAAGGGGGCATCCATTCCAGTAGTTGATGTCAGCCAATAAGGCGTGATATTCTTCCCTTTCTCTCTCTCCCGCGTAAAACTGCCACTACGGTGTCCTCTTGCGTGGGATTCTCCCATGCTACTGTACTCTAGACAGCATGCGCTCCGAGAGGAAAGTTGCATACATATTCAAGTATGTACTGTAGGACATTCTTTTGTGACAAAGCAGCAGCACCAGAAGTGTACTGCAACAACGTTTTTTCCTAACCCACCGGGGTAAACCCTATTTTGTCAATTCCCACCAACAGAGGTATTGTAGCCCATGCACGAGGGTTCCAGTCTTGACTGAAAATGACACACACGATGCCTACGAAACAAAGGTCGACACCGACAACAGTCAACTGCAGTTCCTGCTGCCCCCATTCGCCCTGTTCCAAGGCCGAGTACTGTTTTTCGTCAGTCGTTCTCGCAGGTAGATCCACAGGTTCGCCAACAACCCTAACAAGATGGTTGAAGCAGCATGGAAACATGCAACGGCTCGAAAATAATGCCTGTTTGTGTTGTAAAGGGGTCCGCCTCTATGTTCTAGATGACCCAGTCGCAAGACCGACGTGTGACAACCTTCGGTATTATCCTTCTCAGCCTCGGCACCTTCGTGCTGTGTACGGTCTCAGGCACCTGTGATCTTCCTCTCACCACTTCGCCACCCCCTGCCCTCGCCGGTGTCTTCTGACTAACTACAGACAGGTTGAGGTGATATGGCGACGCCGAGAGAAGAACTGACAGCCACTTCGGAGAAGCTCAGACTCGCGTTTTCCGGCCTGAAGGCCGTCGATGACGAGGTCGTGGCTCATATGACCGGTCTCGGCGCTCTCCCTTTGTCTCGAGCAACTGAACGGGTTTCTAAAGCAGCCAGCAAAGTGAAGACGGAGACGCTCAAGGTCTTGAAGATGGTAAACGCGGTAGAGGGGGCGACGGTCAGAGCGGCTGCGGCGGTATCAGTGGCTCAAGCGGCAAAAGCAGCGGCTGCAGCAAAATCTGCAGCGGCGAAGGCGGCAGTCGAAGCGGCGGAGGCGGCCCACGCAACGGCAGCAGCCTTGGAAGCGGATCTTGATCCACTGGTGGTCATGGTCGACAAGTATGCACTTGGTTGACTCGGCTATGTTGGCCGACCGCTTGGCGTATTCGCTTGGGTGGTGCTGCCCCTATTTTTTGTCGCCAAATCGATCTCTTTCTAGTTTGGTCTGTACAAGTCATTTGACACTGTGTTGTCACATTGAAAAAACATATACTCTGCACTTGCGGCGTTGTTCGGGTGTTTGGCACTTCAAAATGGTGGTATAGAACTGCCCGCGCACTGCTGTGGCTGTGTCGTTGTAGTGATGTTCGTCCTTGTACCCAACAACTGTTCCTGTTACGGTTGTTCTGATGGCTCCTTCAGGAATATGGTGGGTGGAGGCAACAGCAACAGCGGCGGTGGGGACCAAGGTGGGAAAGGCTCTGCGCGAAAACTCAATACGGCTACGGTGGTGTAGAGGAATGTCTTGTGGTTGAAGTGTGGTTAGGAACCATGGAACATGTGCTGTGATATTGTCCTACCATCAATATCACTTGCAGTAGACCTTGGTAACCCTCGAGCAAAAATCGAAACGACGGAACTTTAACCTCCGGCGTTTTGATGTTCATGTTTCGTATTACTGTTCATGCAGGGGCGATGTCATTTTCCGGTTCGCAAGTCAAGGATGGCGAGTTTACTGTGGAGACCAAGGTGAGTCGTTCTTTAAGGTGCGGTTTTCGGCAGCATGTAGCGCCGGAGACTTGGAGGGCAACTACATAGAACACCAAGCGTAGACTATCTCCACGAGCCTTCTTTTGTTCACTTTCGTACTTGCCCATTCACGACCGTCATGCGTCCCGTACTGCTGGCCGACGAGTCAGAGATATCCGCGAATGATGGGGAGGGTAACGACACACCTCTCACCGTGGAAGTCATGCCCGGGGCCGGTAGCACTTATCAAGAGCGCGATGTGCGTATCGACGGATGTCTGGGTTCGTGTAGGGTTGCTTATGTGCTTGTTGCTGTAGAAGCTTGCTTCGACCAGCCGCGTGTAACCGACGTCTCCACACGATATAAGTACCTCTCGATCGTCTTGCTGAGACATCACTCATTACTCGTCAAACCTATTGGATCCCGCCATGCGCGTCTCCTGGTAGTGATGCTAAGTTATGGCCTAGTCTGCTGGGTGCAGATCACTGGTCACACAACAGTGGCTGAGTGGTTCAGTAGATAACCTCGCGGCCTTCTGAGGTGTGGGACGTGGTTTCGAATCTCGGTGCAGTCACACGAGCTGGAAGTTGTTTCTCACATTGTGCACAATGTGGAAAGCGTGTCTTGTATTCGTGTGTACGCAAAGAGTCGACTTCACAGTGGACGAGGGAAAGGAACGACTGAATCCTTCTCGCGATAAAAATGAAGGCATCCACCCCGTACAAGGTAGGCGAAGCAAACCTGCTGTGCCTTTCTCGGGTGTGACCCAGACTGATGCGTCCAGAATTTGCATTGGAAGGTGTAGGGACCGATGTCCAGAACCAATGTCAGATAGAGCCAGAAAAGGTCAGAACGGGCTCTAGACGACATTAATTTCTCGCAAACCATGTCGTGGCTGTATGATTCCGACTCTAGCAAGATCTATCGCGACTTATTGCATGCATCGCACGCGCACAGTCCACAATCAGTTGGTACTCCTTCATTCGTGTAAGGTTCCTGAGTGGTGTCATGGACTGGGGCCGTTTGGTGGCTGTCAGCGTGTTTCGCTTCCGCTACATCTTGGTCTCTCACCCTTGCGATTGCACAATGCTCTGTCACTGGTCTGCCGGATGTTGCCGAAAGACCACCCCTGGAGTAGGTAGCAGAGAGGAGGCGGAGGAGGAGGAGGAGGAGGAGGAGGAGGAGGAGGAGGAGGAGGAGGAGGAGGAGGAAGAGGAGGAGAAGGAGGAGAAGGTAGGCCGTGATTCGGTTTGTTCGGCATGAAAGTAGAGCAGTCACGTTTGGCATGTGAAAATCCGAGACCCTCCCCATGAAAACCGCATGTATTCTGAAAATGCTGGCAACGCTCAATGGGGTTTACAGTACAGCACGATCACCACGACGATCTATTTCGAAGATAGCCGCGCCCTTTGACTCGAAGTATGCTTAGGCACGTTCACACCCATTGACGCAGGGTGAAGTCATTTCCGTGCAAGTCGAGTACCACGTGCAGGTGACATCAATAGCGCTACCCCATTTCCTCGAATACGTTTGAGTACAGTCTATTGGCTTTCTTGAAATATACCAATACCCAAATTTCGTTTGTGACTTCCTCATCGAAACGTGGCTCCAACCTCCATGGTCGTGTTGAGGTTGTGTGGGGGACCCAACTCTACGAATTGTTCTCATGTTGCCCGTGTTGGATATTCTGGATTCCTCAGTTTCCTCCGAGTAATCTTTCATCTTTTCACGCTAGCGCTTCCAGCATCAACGAAGCCAGTTCTTAGCAAAGTTCTTTGATGATTTGCTACAGGCACGCGGCGGCAAGCGCAAGCTCGACGGCAAAGGGAAAGCTTCCCGCCGGCAAACAATTCCGGCAGGCTGTAGGCGGCGACGCAACTACGCGGAAGGGTAAGGATTTCTGCGGAATGACGGTATTTCATCTATACTTGCCAGATCAGATGCAAGGATGAACGGTTCTTGCGTCACTTTCCCGATCGAGGTGACTGCCTCGAAGCGGGGGTTTCCTAAAGGTGGAAACAACTGTTCGAAGCCAACCACCCGAAGCCCCCGCACAGTCCGATGGAAAAGTACAAAATTGTCGTTCCCCACTCACCAAACGCTTACTGCTGTTGTGTATCTTCTCTATATTCATAGACCAGGTGAGCTGTACGAATAGTGCATATGGCAAGGATGGCGATACTAGACTTGGTTGGGTAAATGATGGATCGTTTCCTGGCCTGACGGCAGCATGCAGGAGTAGACATCGAGTTTATGCACGACGGGCGGGACGAGCAGACGTCTCAAACACACATCAACAGCACGATCTCCTTCCAATGCAACCGCCACCACTCTAGAATCCACATTTGGTGGAGCTGTGTTATTACCAAGGGAGTTGGAGCAGAACCATACCAGAAGGAGAACATTAGATGGTGTGACGGCGAAAGTCCAGACTCGTGGCCGGTAGCACACCGCAACACCAGCACGACCGAGTTGCCAACAGACAGCTTCAGGCGTGGTTCACGCTCATCGCACGTTTGTCGAAGTACCTTATGCGCGAACAAGTCCACCTGGTCGCTTCTTATCCGTTGTTGGTGTAGTTCAAAGCGTATACCAAAGTCGGATATGTGTGGGAGACGGGACGCCTACAACAACGGGAACAACCCGGAACATCAGAGGAGTGCCACATTATATTGTGACGCTGGAAGTGTACGCTCTGTCCCGCTTGTTTGGGTCTTTTGTCCGACTCATGACGAGGTGTACCTCTGCATCGAGCCATAGGCACATCCTACACATATTCCAGAAGGACCACCAGCGATCTTGCCCACCCCGGCGTCTGCGGAAGAGGGAAAAAGTGATAAAATAACCGCCTACCCACAACGCCGGTGTGGAATCGATGATCCCAGCGAAATACCTGGATAAAGGAAGACAATGTTTCGAAGCGGTGCACAGCGACGGTTGGCTGAGCCTACAGATTTCGGTTATTGTTATGGTTGTGCAATTTTTCGTCAGCAAGTGTTCATTTTCGGTGTTTGACTGCTGCACCAAGTTATATTCCATTGTATGTCCACAAGAAGAAAACAGCAACAGTATCCAGTCATGGTCCTTTGGCGTGTTTGCCGCCTCTCCACTCTAGCTTCGACTTGCTTGAATCCTCCACGTGTACAGCTCTGGGGGGGGAACTCACTTCCGTTGTCAGCGGAGCCGTGGATTTCCTCGTTCCACTCGACAGAATTATGGAACTTTCCGGGTTGCCATCTGGTTCCCTCAAAGCACTCTATTCTCTTGAGTGGACTAGAGTGAAGCACCGGGAAAACACGTGGTATTTTCGGATAAGGACTTGTACTCCGGGAAACCTAATCGTAGCAACTACCGTGTCAGCGCGACCGTAACATTTTCCCCTCCATCCCCCTGCCGTTCAAGAATGAAACATTGCTTGCTTCGGACGGCAGAAACACCACATATGTTGTGCTACTAGTTGTGATGTACGGCTATGGTGACCCAAGTCCATCGTTTCCACGAGCGATATCTTTGTGCGGGGAATGGAAGGATGGCTGTAAGTACAACTTCCTGACCCGCAAACTCGTATTCGTTGTAGGTGTGCAGTCATCTGTTGTTCAACCCGCCGGTCTTTTGCCGCCACCCGCCTGCATGGATTTGCTTTTGGTTTCCAGCTCCACGAGAGATTCATCCAAGCGACGACGGACGACGTCTGCCCCGGCAACATCTAAACTGAGCGGAGGAACTGGGTCGGCGGCACCATCCAAGACGGCGAGTCTGGTTATCGTTTCGTTTTGTTGTTCTAGGTGAACAGGTGGTGCTGCGGGGGGCTCGAGCATCATGTGTGTATCTGTTGGACGAAGATGAGTCATGTTTAGCATTCTTTCTGTAGCTGATGGTTGGAGTTTGCTTCATGTTGGAGTGGCAGGGTCGGGAGGATTCCTACAACGCAAGATTTACTCCTTGTACAGTATCGAAGACATAAGAAGTGGTGTCCGGTAGGGAATGGCAACGATGGAGAGTGTAAACCGGCCAAGTGCGTCACTCTTCGGAGCGTCCAACAACGCTTTGTGACTTGGTTTGCCATGGCCCCTGCCACATCTTCTGAAATATTTTACGACTTTTGTTTTGGAATGGACAACAGTAGGTATATCCACCTCATCGTACAACACTGGCGCTCGAAACTATGCTTCGCTGAGACCACTCTTGATATGGGGGACGACGCGAAATCTTATTCAGATGCCTGGACGACATGGTCACGGGGCATGCCCAGCAAGGACATAAACGTTCACAAACTTCCGCGGTCATCTTCAACCCACACACCGCCGCGGCGCACAAAGCCTCAATAGGTTGCCCGATTTGTTCCGAATTTCCTTCTAGTGAGTGTACCCACCGAAACCCATGCTAACGTACCCACCTCTGCCTGTTTTTGAGCCTTGAAAAACGCCCCCCGTGCGATGACGGGGGTTTGATTTTCGAGGTTTGAAAGGTGACAAGAATGGGTAATGTTTCGGACAAAATTGGGTCGCAAAACGGGCAAACGTGAGAGTGGATACATGAAAATAAAAATAATAGGATATAATAGCAGATTTCGGTGGGTAAGATTTCGGACAAAATCGGGCAACCTGTTAAGGTCTTGTGCGCAGTGGCGGTGAGTGGGCTCAAGACGAGCCCGACAGTTCGGAGATATTCATGATGTGCTTGGCCCTTGACCATATTGTACAGGCATTAGAATGAAATGTTGGGTGGTTCTGGGTGCCCGCGAGTGGTCTCCGCGAAGAATATTTCGTACGGCGTTCGAATTTCAGATTGCAGCTTGTACGTACGGCACGTGACGACGAGGTGACGGCATTTCCCGCTTTTTTGCTATCATGAGGTATGGTTGAATTTCTCTTGCTGCTATGCATACTCGATGTCGCTCGCTCCCATACTTGCTGAAGTAGATGTCCTCCTCGTGTCTCGAACCGTCCTGTTTCCAGTCAAAGCGTAACAACGCCCGGCGCCGTGGACAGGGACGGCCTGTTTGCCAGGAGCCCGGGTGCACGACGCAACCAACTTTCGGCAATAAGGGCAGCAAGAAACCGGAGTTCTGCTCTCCGCACGCCAAGCCGAATATGGTGGACGTTCACAACAAGACGTGCGGCCACCCAGGCTGCCCCACGCACCCAACATTCGGTAAAGATGGCACCAGAAAGGCGGAGTTCTGCGGTACACACCGCAAGCACGGCATGGTCAGCGTCGTCGGGAAGAAGTGCAACCACCCGGGGTGCCTCAAGTTCCCGTCACATGGTAAAGACGGTAGCTACAAGCGCGAGCTCTGTCAGGAGCACGCGGCACCGGGTATGGTGAACGTCGTCAAAACGAGGTGCGGCCATCCAGGGTGCTCCAAGTACGCCTCAATTGGTGTAGATGGCCGCACGAGGACGAAGGTGGAGTTCTGCCTAAAGCACGCTAGGGGAAAAAAGGTGAACACGCGCCTTCCGTGGCGGCCGGAGTCGTAGAGGGGGCCATGCTTGCCGTGTACTTTGGTGCCCTTGCTGAATGTGTGGTTGTGCAATTTGTAGCCCACCATAGGTAGCTCTGCAGTCTTTCAGCTTGGTGCATGGCTACATGTAACGTTGCAGAACGGTTCCATGAATGTTGCCACGGTTTGGACAGCCGTTGAGATGACTTGTTCGTTTAATGAAGCAACACACACAGGACACATGAATTCCACGTTTGTTTTTGCGCTGACTTGAACCGCGTGGTTCTGGAAGATGGGGGCTTCGCACCTCTTCATGTTGTGAGTTGGGCACGCAATGAGCTAGAGGTACACTCACTCTCTTGTAGTAGTGCAGCATAGGAAAGACTGCGTACCGGCCTAGAGGCATGTCAACAGGAGAGCACGGGAGAATGAGAGCGGTACAACAGTGCCCGCTGTTAGGGACCACCAAGGAACGCCACTGACAGGAGGGGTCCAAGTCGCTTTAGTTAAAGCCGGCCGCAATGGTTTCGGTTCACCCACTTGTGTCAGATGCCGTTCGTTAAGATACCGGGAAGGAGGGTTTTCCGATATGTATGCTGCTTGACGGGTAATTCGTTGTTTAGAAGAGGGCGGTGTGTTGACATCTATCTATGGTCTCAAGTGCCAAACGGACATGAACGGATGTTCTGCTTCATGTTTCGTTCGAGTTCCAGAGTTCGGAGGGTATTTGTCGAACGCGGGTACGTGGGGTAGTGTCAGCGGGCAGGGGGGTTGGACCAGTGGCTTGGTCATGCAAGCGTAGAAGAACTACTGTAATTTCCCCGGATTTCTCGAAAAGTTGGTGTTGACTGTAGTCAGGTTCCATTCGGTGAGCTGTTCAAACGGAAGGGTGCATGACTACAGGACCCCATAGCTGCGAGGTGTCAAGATACGAGGGATTGTCTTTCTGATTAGCGATGTATGCATGTATCCTTGGAGAATGCTGCGGGGGGGCGAACGGAATTCCCTATTTGTCGCCGATAAGCTCGAAAAGATGACGCAGGTACCAACAGCAAATCTGTGAGTGCCTACCCAACAAGCAAGAGGTGGTCTGCAGTGTGAGCACCGCTGGTGGTGATTTGATGACGTTCCTCACGAGGATCGTTACCTGACGGTCTGTCCAACAACGGCGACAAGAGACCCATCATGAAGGAAGGTGTCAACCTTGTCACGCCAGCTTTTTTGTGACCGCTACTACTGCTGTACTTCGTCTGCGGCACGGGCATCCCCCAAAACATGTGAACTCCCCTCGATCAACGCATCCACGCCCAACCGCCCGGAAGCCGTTTCCCTAAAACATAATTTGAGAGCTTCGCCAAACATTTGTTTGCGGCAACTCTTTCACTCCCTTCAGGAGGAACTGAAAGAAAGTAATTACGCGCTCAAATCGTTCGGCAAACCTATGTAGGTAGGTATGTTCTGCATGGCCCCGGCGACAATAATTTGAGGTGAGGGGGGGCTAGTCAGGAACGTGGTTATAGAACTGGGCGCTTTCTGCGCATTGCATCTGGAGAGTTGCACGAGGTTATGGTTGTCGATAGGGCGTTGGGGAGATGAGAACCTCCCAAACGGCCACCTCCTCCACGCTACACTATTTCATACGTCTTCCTCGCGCCTGAAACATTTAGAAAAGGAGTACAAGCAAAGAAACCCTTTCTCTGGTGAAAAATGAAGAAGACTTCTCGGAGCCGCCAACAAGTTTACGAAATTCTTCCCAGCCTAAAGTGCGTGCTTTTACTGGCGGGCGACATCCGTGACGTTGCCGGTATTCGGAAAAAATTCACCGTTAGACCATTCAGCGCTGAGCCTCAACATGTTCGACGTGTTCTATGCATCGCACGATTTTTTGGTGGTTGGCGAGATTCGATCTTCCCGTTACTATTTTTTATTGCCGTCAGAATAGGATAATAGCGCGGGGGTAGCCCCGGCCTCATCTGAAGCCCTTTCCTTTTTTCCCCGGGAGGGTATGTATGTGTGGGGTCGAATATGATAGGAGTTGGTCGCGGTGATGAAGAAGGATTTTTTATAGACTGGATACGATGAGAGAGTCCATCAATCCACGCGAAATTACAGAAGGAAAGAAGCAACATTCTTTCCCGTTTTTGACTTAGACCCACTCGACGTTCGCATGAGTCGCCAAATGTTGACGACGCCAAATGTTGTAGGATTACATGCCATGCGTAGCGATCCCTGAAGACCCTCGTATTTGTTTATCTCTTGGAACAGCAGTGCTTGCTTGCGGTTGCCTTGCTCTCAAAGGTAGACTGATCATAAAGAGGATGTGGACATGTTCCCTCTAAAAGGGGCCACAAAGGTCATGTCCCCTGTTTTTGTCCTTCCATCGAGAGTTACATATTTTTATATTTTCTCGCACTCCGCAATACCGTTGATACGTGCTTCAATTCAAATCTCATAACATTGAGTACGAGACGGAGGAGAAATAAAGACAGGCATGGCCATGCATGATGGGCGGCAACATTCTGAGCAGGAAAGGCCACGTTTTGATGAGTAGACGGGGAACCGTTTAGCACCGCAATTTCTCCGGTTGAAGAATACGGCAGGTAATGGCCGAGGGCAGTCCCGACGGGTTAGCCGACTGTACAGTGTGCGAAAGCCAAGATTAGGTGGAATTTCTTTGTTGACCGTCCCGCCATATGTCTGCAGCACGACGAATACCGCAAACAAACTGCAAACCGCTAATGAAACCAGGAACCAGAATTAAGCCGGAAAAGGCAGTAAGTCCGTCCAGACGAGGAAAACAGCACGAAAACCCATGACGACGAGGGCGAGAATCAGGTCTAGATAGTGCCTAACTAACTTATGAAACCTCATGAAGACGAGGACCATGATGCGTCTACCAAGTAGCACTCCAGGATGATGGCGGCGAGGGGAGTGAACGCAACAACAGCTCCAGGCGCAGAAATCATTCATAGACGCGCAAGGACAAAATGGACTCAAGTCCGACCAGACAAAAGCAGGAAGCCATGAAAAGAAGGAGAGATCGCGAGGGATGCATGACGGAAACCAGTAGCCATACATGCGGGAAATGAAGCTGAAATATACGCGGGAAATGCCGTCCAACCAGACGAGAAAATCAGGTCGATAAACTAAGAAGAGGGCGAGGACGAGGCCAAGATAGGACAAGGCAGGAAAGGGTCTGCCGAACAAAGCAAACTTCGTGGAGGGGAGGGCCGGCCATGATACGACGAGGAAAGAGCGATGATAGCACGACGAGGCAGTGGTCATCGGACATAAAGGATTGGAAATCAGGGATTTCCCTCTTCATTACCGGAGACCCCATGAAAATGAGAGCGAGAGCCGCGAAGGCGAGAAGCCTGTGGTGTACTTGATTTTTCCTTCAGAATAAGACTTGCTGTGTGTATACGTAACCTCCCGATCCCTAGCCCTAGCCCGTCAACATCCCTACAAACGTCCTACACAACAAGGAAGGGGGTCTCCACTTTGCGCTCCCCGCCATGCTTGTAGTGCGTGTGTGTGCCTTGATACGCCCAGTGTAAAAACGTTTTTGAACGCTCTTACAATGCCGAATCAAGTCCATTGGTCCGTCACTACTGCAGTAGCAAAGCGTGAATTCAGTTGAACTCCGCGCGTCGCTGGGTTTGCACGGGGTATCTGAGTTTGCACGGAGGCGCGCGAGAAGATAGGGTCGAAAAGATGATGATGAAACGACCAAACGGTACAGTCGTCCCCGCTATAAAAACACACACACATCGTTCTATTCTTTTGAGAGTTTTTACCGCGCGCGGAGTTATCTTGAGTATCCCAGGGATGATAATTCACCATCCCCGGGGTCAACGAAGGTGTACCATACGTCAAAAGACGCGCAAAAGTGCAGCGGGGATACTAGCACGAAGCGAAAACACAATAAAAAATGATGATCACCGGTAGTGATTGAAAGTCGCAGGTTCTTACATGTACCACGTCGTTCGCTATTGAACCTTCACATTATAACACTCCATCCCCCACATTATTTTTGGAACAGGACGAGGTACATAATTGCTGTTTCTATTGTCCGTTACTTGGAAGGGGAGGCCCGTGATATCTCTCGTATTCGACAAGCAAGGGGGAAAGGAGAGGTGGGCCCTCCACGAAATTTCGAGAAAGAAGGGCCCACACATAGAAACGCTTCAGGTATACAATACGCTATCCTGTCCCCGTGCCCTCCGCTGTTGCCGGTAGATCCATTTGACAAACTGTCCGTATCAAAACACACGAACACTATGTACATTGTGTGCTTTTATCCTTTCTAGATGGATGGAAGGACTGGGATCGCAGAGCGCAGCCGGCCGTACGTGTCTGCCCCCAACTCTAAGCATGACTGTTAGGACACATACACCTGGTTCTGAAAATACGATGTTCGTGGCAGGTGGGACCTCTACTGGGCTACATGTAATATGTCGCGGCAAACTGGCGATGACCTACACTGAAGCCATCACGTGCACGGGCACTGTTTTGACGTTATACGTGAAGAGAGGTCAGGAGCAATGGGTAGCCCCGACGGTATCATGGCTTGATTGCATTTGCACGTCCGGGAAGATGTCGTTGAACCCCGGTGTTTTGACACTCCCCTTTGTGTCATTCGTGTTTGATGCCACCTGCAGAGGGGAGTCATCCAAGCGCCGACGAAATTACACTGTGCCAGGACTAACGGACCAAAGCGGGGACGGTAGGGCGGCGGCAACACACAAGTCGGCAAGTTAGATGGAAGCTTCGTTATTCTCGCGTTCCTATGTGAGGAAATCACGATTCTACATTTGACCCGTGCATGCTTTGGTTAGAGGTGTACTTCACGTAACTCACAGACAGTTCGCCTACATGCCGGATAGGTTGATTTTAGTAGTGTAGGTTCGAGAGGGGTGTTGCTGAGCAACTTGGCAGTGGTGCATCGTTTTTCGATCACCGACGAAGTTTCTACCATGTACCGAAATACAACAATTCTGAGAGTAGGTCGGCCACGCTTGCAACTTTAGCAAGTCT